GATGCTGCTTGGCCTGCTGTGTTCATCCAGCCCTGCACCTTGTTGTCAATGGATAGAAGGTTGGCTCGCCTGATGGACTGGGCTGTGTTCACAACTCTGTAGTTTTTTCGAGTTCCCTGAGGACCCCAGCTCCATGTCAGGAGTGTGTGGCCTTGACTCCCCGTTTCCCACAACAAGCGGCACAGTGGCTCAGTGGTTAGCACTGCTGCCTCACGGTGCCAGGGACCCAGGTTCGACTCCACCCTTGGGCGACTGTCTGTGTGGAGTTTGCACATTCTCCCTGTGTCTGCGTGGGTTTTCTCTGGGTGCTCCGGTTTTCTGCCACAGTCCAAAGATGTGCAGGCTAGTTGGATTGGCCATGCTAAATTGCACGTAGTGTCTGGGGATGGGTCTGGGTGGGATACTCTGAGGGTCGGTGTGGACTTGTTGGGCTGAAGGGCCTGTTTCCACACTGTAGGGATTCTATGATTCTAAGACCTTTGGAATTTGGGAAAGGGCGTGACTATTACTACATCTGGGACCCTTGGGCAGCGTCAGTTGCCAGTGTGAAACAATGATCCCACCATCGCCCTGCTTGGTTCCTGGCTGTGAACCCCTCCCCCCACCTCTTAAAAAAAAACTCCATCAGCCTGCCCCTGTGAAGGCCCAGTTGGTGGTCAGTCAGTACACAGTGTGATGGTACAGTAATGTCCTGGATTAACAACGTGCAGAGCTGCCCTGATGACCAACAGAGCCGTGTTTGCACCCTACTGCTGTGTAATTGAAATGCAATGAATGAAATCAATCTGGAATAAGGAGATTGTGTCACCTCAGGGCGACCATGAAAACTGGTTCCTTTGTAGAACATAGAACAGTACAGCACAGTACAGGCCCTTCAACCCACGATGTTGTGCTGAACTTTTACCCTAAATCTAAGGTCTATCTAACCTCCACCCCTACCTTATACTATCATCCATATGCCTATCTAATAGCCGCTTAAATGCCCCTAATGAGGCCGACTCTACTACCCTCTCCGGCAATGCATTCCACGCCCCTACCACTCTCTGAGTAAAGAACCTACCTCTGACGTCTCCTCTATATCTACTTCCACTCACTTTAAAACTATGCCCCCTCGTAATAGTTACCTCCACCCTAGGAAAAAGTCTCTGGCTGCCCACTCTATCTATGCCTCTGATCATTTTGTACACCTCTATCAAGTCACCTCTCATCCTTCATCGTTCTAAAGAGAAAAGCCCTAGCTCTCTCAACCTTTCCTCGTAAGATCTTCCCTCCATTCCAGGCAACATCCTGGTAAATCTCCTCCGCACCTTTTCCAATGCTTCCACATCTTTCCTGTAATGAGGCGACCAGAACTGGACACAATACTCCAGATGTGGCCGAACCATGGTTTTGTATAGCTGGAGCATAACCTCACGGCTCTTGAACTCAATCCCTCTATTAATGAAAGCTAACACACCATACGCCTTCTTAACAACTCTATCCACCTTTGTAGAATTAAACCTGCTGTCCTTCACTGTCCTAGCTCTCCATCTCCATAGCAATGCGGCTGTCCCTTTACTGAAGTTCCCTCGAAAGCAAGTTAGTTTACAGCTGCCTCCTCCTGGGTCATTAAGGAGGGAAATCCATGTTGAACAATGTTCGCGGCCTGTGAATGAGTGTAACTACAGTAGGTGTGGTTTGTGCTTATCTGAGGTCCTACCCTGACTACTTTCTCCGTTTCTAGCTGTACATGGTGAGGACCATGCTGGAATCTCTCATCGCTGACAAGAGTGGCTCCAAGAAGACCTTACGAAGCAGTCTCGATGGTCCAATTGTGATCGCTATCGAGGACTTTCACAAACAGTCTTTCTTCCACACACACCTCCTAAACTTCAGCGGTGAGTGTCCCATCTCTCTTTAATCTTTCACAAACCTTCCCGAGAGTTGGATTGCAGTTGTAGGGGTCTAACTTGGGAACCCGAGCTTACCCACGCAGCGAGCGAGTTTCCAACTTGTGAAGGGGATCAGGGCAATTTGCATATCCCTTTGATGGGCACTGACGGTTCTAGGGACAATCGGGTCCGACTGAAGCTGAATACTGCAGCTGCTCAAAATCTTCTGGGCATGTTGAGGCGCATTGGATGATTATTTGGATAAAAAATAACATACAAAGGTTTGGAGACAGAGCAGGAGGTTGGCAGTAGGCAGTGGTGCTCATTTGAAGGGCTGAGACAGGGGCCGAAGGACCACCTTCTGCACCATGACATTTCCGTGATATTGCCAGAAAGTACTGGAAACATTCGGCAGATCTGGCAGCTGGAGTGCCAGGGGGAATGGAGTTTATGTTTCAGTCGATGAAGGTTTATCAGAGCTGGAAGGGATGAAAAGACAATAAACTAATGGGGGGCCAGGGCAAGTGGGAGGGTCAAAGCTTTGTTCATTCTCCCAAAATTCATCAGCTCACACTTATCAGGATTAAATTCCGTTTGCTGTCGCTCAGCCTATGTGACCAACCCATCCATATCACCCTGTACCTGCAGATTTCCCCCTCACTGTGACCAAACCAACAATTTACCTGTCACTGTGAACTTAGTGATCATACCTCCTACGTTGCTGTTTAGATCATTAATGTACACAACAAGCAGCAAGAAACCCAGCACCGAACCCTGCGGCACAGGCTTCCAGTCACAAAAACACCCTTCCACCATCACCCTTTGCTTCCAGTCACTAACCCAACTTCAGATACGTTTTGCAATTTGCTCTGGATTCCACGGACTCGGCTTTTTCACCTTGTCAGAAGGACCTTGTCAGAAGGACCTTGTCAGAAGCCTTGCTGACATCCATGTAGACTACATCAACTACAGTAGTCTCATCAGCTCACCCGGTCACCCCCCTCGAAAAACTCAATCAGGCTTGTTAGACATGACCTATCCCTTGCAAAGCCATGCTGACCACCCAGGATCAATCCTTGCTCCTCCAGCTTTTATAGGTGTCCACTTCTAGTGAGCAGCATCTCCACAGGGATGGGGGCAGGAGTTAATGGTAGAGTCAGTGATAAGGTCAGGTGTAAACAGGCTGTGGGAGGAGCTGGAGTGATGGGGTAGAGTGTACACGGGCTGTGGGAAGGGATGCAGCGGGTGCGTGGGTGGAGTCAGTGGTAGAGGCTGTGGGAGAAGAGGTTTTGATGGGATGGTGACCCCTTCCCCCTTCTCTACTGTCCTCCTCAGTGGCGTTGAATGCAAGTATCTGCGAATACTGTCTCGATGTGCAGTGCTTCACCTGATATTCCTGTGGGTTGTTTCAGAATCGCTGCAGCAGTGCTGTGATCTGTCCCAGCTCTGGTTCCGAGAGTTCTTCCTGGAGCTGACCATGGGCCGAAGGATCCAGTTTCCCATTGAGATGTCGATGCCATGGATTCTGACGGACCATATTCTGGAGACCAAAGAGCCCTCCATGATGGAGTAAAGTTTGCTTCCCTGCCTTCTGTCCTTCTGGCTGGTCTTTCAACCACTGTGACTGGGGTGGGGGGCGTGGAGGAGTGAGGGGAGAGAGGGTAATGCTTCTTCGCTGCCTTTTTATAGCAGGATTTCTTCAAACAGTGCCTCTCCATGGTGTTTCTGTCAAAACTGTAGGCTCAGATGCTCAAAACGCTGTGCAGGGGATTTGGTAGGAGCTCCAATTTGACCAAGAACCCTTCACTGAGAGGCTTTGAACATCCTATTAATGAAGGTCAGGTTTGAATTACGAACTTCATTGCCTGTTTCTCTGGTGCAAAACATGCCAGTTTACTATTGGTATCTGTTCTGGTGAAATACTCCTCAGAATGCTAAATGAGCTTGCTTTGTCTTCTCCAGCATTTCAGCGATGAAGATTGGGATGAGCCAATGATTACAAAATGTGCAATCGGTTAATGACAAAGGAGATTGAGCACTAGGGATAGAGAGAATAGTGATGCAGCATTCTCTGTGGACCATTTGAAATCTGCCTCTAATTTGGCATCAGAGCATGCACAAGCTTGTTTGCCAATTCTTCACATCTCTGCTTAAAACAATAAAGGGAGGATGAATAGTCTTGACCATTTTCATCCCAGCCTCTAGAGGGAGAGAGTCCTATATGGAGATGAGTGTTTTAGGGGTTCTGAGAACCCCAGACAATGAAGGGTGAGAGTAGAGTCTTCCACATCAACTCCACACAGATATCCCTGTGGACAGCGAGCCAGCAATCCTGAGTTGGCATTCCGATCTTCATTGACCGGGACTTTCCATTATATGGCTTCAAAGCCATATCTGATTCAAGGGTGGGAATGGCTAGCACTGACCCAAAGACTCTCTCTGGGACAGACACTGTGTGAAACGTAGACGTAGAGTCATTGGAATAGGATAAGCCATTCGGCCCTTCAAACCTGCTCTGCCGCTCAGTATGATCATGGCTGATCATCCAACTCAACGTCCTGAAATTTCTCTCCAAACCCCTCGATCCTTTCAGCCCTAGTAACTCTATCTAACTCCTTCTTGAAAATATTCTATGCTTTTGGCTTCCACCAGTTTCAGTAGCAGAGGTTTCCATGGTCTGGGTAAAGAAATTTCCCCTCAACTCAGTTATTAACCCAGGAGGACGCTGTTAGCAGTGAGGTTACTGTTTGTTTAACACAAGACAGTCTGTCACGACAGGGAAGCAACTTTCCAACTTGCCTCGTTTAAGAAATGCTTGCATTTACATAGCACCTTTCACATCCTCAGGGTATGATTAGTGGGAAGCAGGAGGATTGGGAAGTCTTTAAAAACCAGCAGAGGGCAATTAGATAATCAGTAAGTGGGGAGAAGATGAAATATGAGGGTGGGATAACTAGTAATATAAAAGAAGATTGCAAGAGTTTTATATAAAGAAACACAGAGGCAAGAGTGAGCATTGAATAGCTGAAAGATGAGGCTGGAGAAGCAGTAATGGGGAACAAAGAAATGGTGGAGGAACTGAATAGGTACTTTGCATCAGTTTTCAGAATGGAAGACACCAGCAACATACCAGAACTTCAAGAGAGTCAGGGGGCAGAGGTCAGTGTAAGGCCATCACTAAGGAGAAGGTGCTGGGGAAGCTGAAAGGTCTGAAGGTGAATAAATCACCCAGACCAGAGAGAATACACCCCAGGGTTCTGAAGGAAATAGCTGAGGAGATTGTGGAGACACTGGTGGTGAGCTTTCAGGAATCACTGGAGTCAGGGAGGATCCTAGAGGATTGGAAAATGGCTAATGTTAAAGAAAGGAGGGAGGCAGAAGATGGGAAACTAAAGGCTGGTTAGCCTGACCTGGGTCATTGGTAAGGTTTTACAGTCGATTATTAAGGATGAGATTGTGGTGTACTTGGAAGTGCATGGTAAAATAAGGCTAAGTCAGCATGGCTTCATTAAGGGGAGGCCATGTCTGAGAAACCTGTCAGAATCTTTGAGGAGGTAGCAAACAAGTTAGACAAAGGAGAGCCAGTGGATGTGATCTATTTGGATTTCCAGAATGCTTTTGACAAGGTGCCAAACAGGAGGCTGCTGAATAAGATAAGGGCCCATAGTGTTAGAGGCAAGGTACTGGCATGGATAGAGGATTGTCTGAAGGGCAGAAGGTACAGAGTAGGGACAAAGGGATCAGGATGGCAACCAGTGACTAGTGCAGTTCCACAGGGGTCTGTGTCGGGACCACAGCTATTCACATTATATATTAACAATTTGGATGAAGGAACTGAGGACATTGTTGCTAAGTTTGCAGATGACATAGGAATAGTTGGGGAGACGTCGTGTTAAGGAAGCGGGGACACTGCAGAATGACTTGAACGGACTGAGAGAGTGTGCAAAGATGCAGATGGAATGCAATGTGGGAAAATGAGAGATTGTGCACTTTGGTGGGACGAGCAGAGGTGTAGACTATTTTCTAAACGGAAAGGTTTCAGATATCTGAAACACAAAAGGACTTTAGGCGTCTTAGTTCAGGGTTCTCTTAAGGTTAACACGTAAGTTCAGTTGGCAGTTAGGAAGGCAAATGCAATGTTACCATTTGTTTCAAGAGGGCTAGAATGCAGGAGCAGGAATATACTGCTGAGGCTGTGTAAGCCTCTGGTCAGACCGTGTTTGGAATATTATGGGCTGTTTTGGGCCCATATCTAGAGAAAGATATGCTAGGTTGAAGGTTTACAAGAATGATCCTGGGAATAAAGGACTTGTCATGTGAGGAGTAGTTGAGGATTCTGTGTCTGTGTTCGATGGAGTTTAGAAGGATGAAGCGGGGATCTCATTGAAACATATTAGAATACCAAGAGGCTTGGATAAATTGGATGTGGAGAAACTAGAATCCAAATGCACAGCATCTGAGTGAAGGGACGACTCTTTAGAACTGAGATGAGGAGGAATTTCTTCAGCCAGAGGGTAGTGAATCTGTGGAATTCATTGCCACAGATGGCCGTGGAGGCAAAGACATTGAGCATATTTAAGACCAAACTAGCTAGGTTCTGCGATAACAAGGTATAGAGCTGGATGAACACAGCGGGCCAAGCAGCATCAGAGGAGTAGGAAAGCTGACGTTTTGGGCCTAGACCCTTCTTTCCTGCTCCTCTGATGCTGCTTGGCCCGCTGTGTTCATCCAGCTCTACACCTTGTTACCTCAGATTCTCCAGCATCTGCAGTTCCTACTATCTCTAGCTAAGTTCTTGATTGGTAAGGGAATCAACAGAGAGAAGGCAGGAGATAAGTTTCTCAACCCCAATCAGCCAGGATCCATTGGCAGAGCAGACTGGATGGGCCAAACGGCCTAATTCTGCCCCTAAATCTTACAGTCTTATGTATGAAATACTTTCATGGCTAACAGAGCACTTTGTGAAGTGAAGACATTGTTGTAATTTAGGAAACGCAACACCCAGCAAGATCTCACACAACAGTGACAGTGAAGTGATATTTCTCATGTTGAGGGAGAGAAAGAGCCAGGCTTCCAGAGAGAAGACTCCAACTGTCATTGAGGCAGTGTCCCGTGGGTCTTTCACATTCAAGTGAGAGCCTATAATGGGATGGTCATTGTCAGAGAGAGAGAGGGGGAGGAAGAGATCTTCATTATCCTGATGGTCTGCTATTGCCTCTTCTTTGTATTCGATTAGCTTGGGGAAGCATTAATTTACCAGGCGGGTTTCAGTTGTACGGAAAAGTTGGACAGGCTGGGACTTCTTTCACTGAAGCGTAGGAAGTTAAGGGGTGACCCTATAGAGGTTTATAAAATCATCAGGAGTACAGATAAGGTGAATGATAGGTGTCTTTTCCTTAGGGTGGGGGATTCCAAGACTAGAGGGCATATTTTTAAGATGAGAAAAGAAAGATTTTAAAAAAGATGAGGGGCAACCTCATTTACACAGAGAGTGGTTAGTGTGTGGAATGAACTGCAGGAGGAAGTGGTGGGTGTGGGTAAATTATAACATTTAAAAGACGTTTAGATAAGTACATGAATAAGAAAGGTTTGGAGGGATATGGGCCAAGCGCAGGCAGGTGGGACTAGTTTAGTTTGGGAACATGGTCGGCATGGACTGGTTGGGCCGAAGGGTCTGTTTCTGTCCTGTATGACTCTAGTTTGGTTCTTTACCAAAGGGGACAGGGAACTGAGCATCAGCACCTCGTCACGATGATCAGAACAGATGTTTCTGATTCCCTTGTTGGTTTTCACATTTCCAGGTATGTTTTGTACCCGCTGGATCTGTACAACGACAGTGCTTATTACACTCTGACCAAGTTCAAAAAGCAGTTCCTGTATGACGAGATTGAAGCGGAGGTGAGCAAGATTTACTGCTTTAAACATTCCCCCCTCCATGTAAACCCAGCTCGCTGCAGCTGAGAGACTGGCAGGTGAGCAGATGCCAGCCACATCGGGAATTCAGTGCCTCAGTCCCCACAGATCAATAAGGAGGCTGGTACACTGAGCTGCCTAGTGGTAGCTGACAGAGTCACTGGTCTCCCAGTATGTGCCAGTGCATTGAGAATATGGGTACCAGACAAACCCCATTGCCCGAACTTAGTGAGTGGAGTAAGTGCCAAACTAAATCCTATTCATTGGCTTGTTTTCCAGGTGAACCTCTGCTTCGACCAGTTTGTTTACAAGTTGGCTGATCAAATCTTTGCTTATTACAAGGCTATGGCTGGCAGGTAGAGTATGATCCTCTTTGCTCTTAAGTCGTTGGGTCCCATTCTGTAGCCACTTGTGATGGTACTTTCCACATTTGTAAAGCTTACAGTCTCACGCCATAGAATGAGACCCTTCTGCCCATTGTACATATACTGGATCATTGGAGAAATCATCCAATTAGTCCTGTGCTTTCACTTCAATCCAACTGTCCTTTGGTCTTTCGAGTCCTTACCCAATTCTGTCTTGGAAGATATTATTGAATCTGCTTCCATCACCTTTTAACCGAATGCATTCCAAATCTTAACCACTTGCTGCCATTTTCCTTGTGTCTCCTCTGGTTCTTTTATCTTTAACTCTGAGAGTTCTGGCTACCAATCCTTCTGCTGCTGGAATGTTTTTCCTTATTTACTCTACTAAAGCACTACCATCAAATCTTCTCTTGACCTTTGCTGGTGTCAGGAGAACCCACCAAGTTTCACCAGTGTCTCATAAAACTGAAATCGCTCCTTACTGACATCATTACAATAAGTCTTTTCTGGTCTCATCACAGATAGATTTTGAGTGTATTATTAATTTTGTATCTTTATGTGTGAGATGTTTTTTTCTCATACTCAGGGTGATTTGTCCCCATTTAAATAATTTCCAACAGTAGACTTTGTTTATTAAAATAAATTAAGATTATTGATTGTAACACATGTGCCCTAGAGTTGATTTTCCATCATCCCTCATGCACACTATCATACACATAAAGATCAGGTAAATAAAATGTACAATTATAAGTTAAAGTGAGGTCAGTCTCTTTAGTGGCAGGCCTGTAGTTTCTTAGTTGAATTGATGCTTTAGAGGAGATCTGGTTTCTCAGTGTGGGGACGTCTCCCCGCCTCCCTAACCTGTCCTTCCTCCCACCTATCCCCTCCTCCCATCCCAAGCCCCACCCCTATCTCCTACCTACTAACCTCATCCCGCCCCCTTGACCTGTCCGTCCTCCCTGGACTGACCTATCCTCTCCCTTCCTCCCCACCTACACTCACCTCTACTGGCTCCAACCCCGCCTCTTTGACCTGTCTGTTTCCTCTCCACCTATCTTCTCCTCTATCCATCTTGTATCCGCCTCCCCCTCTCTCCCTATTTATTTCAGAACCCCCTTCCCCTCCCCCATTTCTGAAGAAGGGTCTAGGCCCGAAACGTCAGCCTTCCTGCTCCTATGATGCTGCTTGGCCTGCTGTGTTCATCCAGCCCTGCACCTTGTTATCTCAGATTCTCCAGCATCTGCAGTTCCTGCTATCCTTAGCTTAAGACTGTTAGCTACATTAACAACACGTTGGAGGCATTGTTATCTCTGAGAGATAGTAACTAGAGCTATGCTACATGATTGCAGATTGTAGTACTGACTAACAGAAAAATTGACTAACTTCTCCTAAAGGAAGACATTTATGTATTTGTGTGCAGAACTATTTCAAAGCTCTGAGTTAACCCTTTCAGGCCAACTGTCTTATAAAACAGTGCTCAGGAAAGAACCCAATGCTCCAGCATAAAACCAGTGTTTTATGTAGGCTTGCCTTGACTCATAATGCTTTTGTCTTGTTATGATTGTATTTGTAAATCCAGTGATCCTATTTGCTTTTTTAAACAGCCTTTTCAACCTAACTTGTAACCTTCAAAAACTCCCACTGGCCTCTCTGTACTGTACCTCCTTTAACATTTGAACTTCTTAGTTTTATGTTTTGCATCTGTCAACTTTTCCTACAAACGTGAACCACTTCACACTTCTGTTCTCAGGATCAGAACTGTTTGTCAAAGTAACCCCATGGGGAAATCTAGGACTGAGGGAATAGTTCCATAATAAGGGGATGGCCTTTAAGTCAGAGGTGTGGTGGAATAATCTCTTTTTTATTTTCTATTCACGTCGTGGGATGTGGGCGTTGCTGGCTGGCCAGCATTTCTTGCCCGTCCCTAGTTGCCCTTGAGAAAGTGGTGGTGAGCTGCCTTCTTGAACCGCTGCAGCCCTCCTGCTGTGGGTTGACCCACAATGCTATTAGGGAGGGAATTCCAGGCGACAGTGAAGGAATGGCGATATATTTCCAAGTTAGGATGTTGATTGACTTGGAGGGGAACTTGCAGGTGGATGGTGTTCCCATATATCTGCTGCCCTTGTCCTTCTAGATGGAAGTGGTCGTGGGTTTGGAAGGTGCTGTCTGAGGATCTTTGGTGAATTTCTGCAGTGCATCTTGTAGATAATACACACTGCTCCTACTGAGCATCGGTGGGGGAGGGAGTGAATGCTTGTCGGTGTAGTGCCAATCAGCCCTCTTTCTGAGGGCTGTAAATCTTTGGAATCCTCTACCTCCAACAGAGAGAGAGAGAGAGAGAGAGAGGTGGAGGTTGTGTCACTAAATGGCAAGGCTGAGGTAGATTTTTTTTTAAATTTGGGGAAATTGAGGTAAGGGTTAGGGTTAATCAGTAACTCGGGGTAAGGCAGGAAAGTAGAGCTCAGGTCTGTCCAAGATCAGACCAGCCATCATCTTGATTGAATGATGGAGCTGGCTAGGGAGACTGGAAATGACATTTGCTCCTATATCTCTTCCATTTTGAAATCAGCTCATGTAAGTAACGTCTAGAGACACTGATGACGTTGCAGCACCGACTTCTTATATTTTTCCTTTGTCTTTTTTCTTCCAAGCGTATTGTTGGATAAAAGGTTCCGAGCGGAATGCAAGAACTATGGAGTCATCATCCCCTACCCACCGTCCAATCGCTACGAGACGTTACTGAAACAGAGACATGTGCAGGTACCGATCGTGTTTACTCTAGCAGTGAGACTGCCCTGAAGCTCAGCGAGATGGTGCAACCACTCAGTGCAGAACTGAGCCCCATAGACTGACTTCCACCTCCAACCCCCTGACCTGTGACCTCTGCCAGCCTGGTGATAAACCTCCACGCCTGACCTCGGTGCACCGACCCGACCCGGGTTCCTCATCCAGAATGCTGTCTGCTGGTAGAAAGAGCTGTCGGTGGGGACGTCGGTCATGTGTTGCATTTATGTTCTCAGGACGTGTGGCCATTGCTGGCACAATAGTTTTGGTTTGCCCATCTCAGTTGCACTGCAAATCACAGAATTGTTATGGCGTGGAAGGAGGCCATTTGCTACCTCATGCTTGTACTGGCTCTTCAGTTGCCTCGTGTCATTCTCCTTTTTTTTCCAGACCCTATCAAATCCCTATTTCTATCTAATACCCTCTTGAATGCCAATGAACCTACCCCCATCACATTTCTAGACAGTGCATCCCAGACCCCAACAATTCACTGTGGGAAATAACTTTTTCTCACATCATCCCTGCTTCATTTGCACATCACTTTAAATCCGTGCCCTCTGGTTCCTCTTCCTTTTACAAGTAGGCATGGGGCTAGATTAATTTAGGATATCTGGTCAGCATGGACAAGTGGACCAAAGGGTCTGTTTCCACTGCTGTATATTTCTATGACTCTAAACATTTTCCTACCTACTCTACCCAGCCAACTTGTGATTTTGAAAACCTCAATCAAAGCTCCTCACAGCTGCCTTCTCTCTTAGGGAGAACAGTCCCAACTTCCTCAATCTATCCTCATCACTGCAGGTTCTCATGCCTGTAGTCAGTCTTGTAAATCACTTCTGCACTCTCTCCCAAGCATTCACATCTTTCCTGCAACATGGCACCCATACATGTACACAGAGGAGGTGCTGAGATAACACAGTGTGGAGCTGGAGGAACACAGCAGGCCAGGCAGCATCAGAGGAGCAGGAAAGCTGACATTTCGGGTCGGGACCCTTCTTCGGATTTTGGGTCCTGACCGGAAATGTCAGCTCTCCTGCTCCTCTGATGCTGGCTGGCCTGCTGTGTTCCTCCAGCTCCACACTGTGTTATCTCTGACTCCAGCATCAGCGGTTCTTAGTATCCCAAAGGTGATGCTGAGTTGTCTTTTTAAAACCACTGATGGCAGGTTTAGCGTAAACTGAGAATCTTTGTTGGCCAGATCAGAGGGTCTTTAAGAACGAAGCACAAATGGACACAGACTGTAAGGACAGCAGATTCCCTTTGCTAAAATATATTAATAGTTATTTGGAAAGGCAAGACTTGAATGTTTTTGGAAAAAAAGACACATTTTGTGTCTTGCACTCATCAGGATCATTCGCAAGAATACTAATTCATGGGGGAAAGCAGCGTTTATACAGCATAAGAGGAGAGTGCTGACTGGGTGATGAGAGGACACTGACTAATAGAGGCATTGCCTTGGAAAATGTCCCAATCACAATCCATTTGCCAACCAATTAGCATTTCCCTCTCATGCAGTATAAACCTTAGTTCTCCTCTTGATTTGGTATTCTTGTAAATTGTCATTGAGTCATACAGCATGGAAACAGACCCTTTGGTCCAACCAGTCCATGTTGAATATAATCCCAAACTAAACTAGTCCCACCTGCCCATATCCCTCTAAACCTTTCCTATTCATGTACCTATCCAAATGTCTTTTAAACTTTGTAATTGTACCCACATCCACCAATTCCTCAGGAAGTTCATTCCACACATGAACCACCCTGTGTACAAAAAAAAATAAATTGCACCTCATGTCTTCTTTAAATATCACACCTCTCACCGTTAAAAATGTGTCCCCTAGTCTTGAAATTCTCCATCCTAGGGAAAGGACACTTACTATTAACCCTATCTATACCCTTTGTAGCCCGTTATGAACCTCTATAAGGTCACCTCTCCACCTCCTATGCTCCAGTGGAAAACATTCCCATCTTATCCAGTCTTTCATAACTGAGACCTTCCATAGCCTAATGAGTGCAACAGAACAGCTTCACCAAGATGTCTTATTTTTTCAGCAATACTAAAATGTTCTAATGAACTGGTTGGGCTTTTACATCAAACCATGCTTATTATTACTGGGATTGGAATTTTCCTTTCCATGGGTTTCAAACCAACCGCAATAAGATTTGAGGTGTCATAGCCTGGATTATTAGTCCAAGAACCGAACCTCTGCCTGATTGTATTCCTCTCTGTAGTGGGGCACCAGCTTATGCCTGCCACCATAAAATGAATGTGTCATTTATGCAATGCAAACTATTAGGAGTCTTGTTGAAAAATTTACCTTGTTCGTAGTCTTTTTTTTACAGCTTTCTTTTTCATGATGAGTTTTACCTTCACCTTTGGGATGATAACCCACTGTCAGAATCAATGGTCTCCCCATCTCTTGCATTGTCAGAGACCTAGTGGATGAGAGTAACCTGCCAGGTTCCTACTTGTTGACTGGTCATGGGTGAGGTTGTGAGGTGATTTTCCTCCAAGTGCCAGACTGTGAAGAGAGTCAGAAATCTTAATGGTCTGACGGGGCCCGAGTTTGACCTGTCGATTCACTGTGTTTCTCTTTCTCCCCCACAGCTCTTGGGAAGGTCCATCGACCTCAACAGACTCATCACCCAGAGAATCTCAGCTGCGATGTATAAATCTCTGGATCATGCAATCAGCCGCTTCGAGAGTGAGGATTTAACGTCTGTTGTGGTGAGATCATCGAAGTCATGGAGTGGGGCAGTAGTTTCAGACATGGGGTTTGGGCGCTGATGTGTTTCCAACAGAATTACACCGGGTAGATGCGAAAAGGATGTTACTGAAGGAAGGGGAGTCCAGAACCAGGGGTCACAGTCTAAGGATGCAGGGTAAACTATTTAGAACTTAGACAGAAATTTCTTCAGCCAGAGAGTGGTGACCCTGTGGAATTCACTACCACAGAAAGCAGTCAAGGCCAAAACATTGTATGATTTCGAGAAGAAGTTGCATATAGCACTTGGGGCTAAAGGATATGGGGGTGAAAGCAGGAACAGGGTACTGGTTTGGATGATCAACCATGATCATATTGAATAGCAGAGCAGGCTTGAAGGACTGAATGGCCTACTCCTGTTGCGAATTTCTATGTTTCTGTGCCACAACCAGAATTTACAAGTGTTGGTGAGCTGTTCATTGGAAGGTACTTTGTAACCGAGGCGTTGATTAAATTTTATTCTACATTTTACAAATGTTAATCATCTTCAAGGTAAGTGACAGGCAGAGATTTTGGATGTCAGCCTCAAAGAGCTGGAACGGCGAGCTATGCCAAGCCAAATGCCACCCTCCTGTGCTGCATGGTTACAATTCCCTGCACACTCGCGCACATGTGTGTGTGTGTGTGTGTGTGTGTGTGTGTGTGTGTGAACACCTTTGGGGGAGTTGCTGCAGAGTATGGAGCAAATAGTGTCATGTTCTCTCTCCTTGCTCTGAATGAGTGTGTCAAACACCAGCGGATCTCCTCCTGGCCTGAATCTGTGGGTCACCAGCCTAAGGTCGTTACTTCATGTGTGTCACGGCTGATCTGTGGAAGATTGTCAGGCCAAGGGAACTTTGTGTTTGCTTGCACTGGCTCAGCTAGCTGACTGAAGGGGCGCAGTTTCACAGAGCTGAATACTCGGGTTGTGCAGGAGACAGGAGGAGGGTGCGCATAGATATCGATTGTTAGAGTGAGTGGGCAAAAATCTGAAACGTGGAGTATAATGTGGAAAGTGTGAAGTTGTTCTCTTTGGCAGGAAGAATGAAAAAGTAGAGTATTGTTAAAATGGAGAATGACTGTGGAATTCGGAGGTGTAAAAGATTTTTGATTACCTCATGCGTGAGTCACAAAATATTAATATACATGTATCCTTTATTGCAAGAGGAATTGAACATAAGTGTTTCAGTTATGCAGCGAAGTGGTGAGAGCAGATCTCTCCTACTGTGTACACTTTTGAACTCCTTATTTAAGGAAGGATATAAATGCATTGTGGGTAGTTCAGAGATTGACTAGATTGAGACCTGAAAGCTGTCCTATGAGAATAGGTTTATATAGACTGGGCTTGTGTCCACTGGAGCTCAGAAGAGTGACAGGTGACTTGATTGAAGTTAAAAAAGATAGAAGTTTGAAACAGGAGTAGGCCATTCAGCCTTTCAAGCCTGCTCCACCATTCAATATGATCGTGGCTGATCATTGAGCTCAGTACCCTAAATCCTGCCTCCCCGCCTCCCACCCCCAACATATCCCTTGATCCCTTGAGCTATAAGGACTGCAACTACCTCCTTCTTGAAAGTAAATAATGTTTTGGCCTCAACCACTTTCAGGCAATTCAGGGATGGTCTAATAGATTAATATAGAGGTCGACGTTTAAAAATCAGTGGTTTACTATTTAAAATAGAAATTAGGTAAAATCGTTTCTGTCAATGAGCCATGAGCCTTTGGAATTCACTTCTTGAAGAGATAGTGATATAGAGTCCTGTATATTTTTAAGGCAGGAGTAGATTCATATCGAGCAAGGGGTTAAAAGGTTTTAGGGGTAGGCGGGGATGGGGATTTGAGGTTACAATACGATCAGCCATGATTTTATTGAATGATAGGGAAAGCTTGAGGGGTTGAATTGCCCCCTGCTGCTCCTGAGTTGTATATTCATAAACAATATTGAAAGAATCCTCTGCTATTTGACCCCCAATAGGAATTAGAGTGGCTGTTTGAAGTTAATCGTCTCACCCATCGTCTCCTCTGCAAACACATGACCCTGGACAGTTTTGATGCCATGTTCAGGGAGGCCAATCACAACGTATCTGCTCCATATGGACGAATCACTCTGCACGTCTTCTGGGAGCTCAACTTTGACTTCCTGCCCAATTACTGCTACAACGGATCGACCAATCGGTGAGTGCTGCATCTCTGACAGGTGAGGTGCGGAGGATATCATCTCAGGGCCTCTTCTCCTCCACATTCCCAGTCAATGGGATTACTTCCGACGAACCATCCGGCTCTCTGTGCTTCTCCCCACTTTGGAAAGGCTTCAGAGAAGAGGGTTGGATGTTCCTCGTCGTGCGACTCTCAGAATAGCCAAATCCAGAGGTAGCAACGACACAGTGGATGGTTTCAGCAGCTGGTGAGCTGATGCAGAGGTAGAGGCGACAATATTGCGAAGGTGGTCTGAGTGTGTTGGTTTTAGTGCATTGATTATGATGCTCATCGTGGGGTCAGATATGACCCCAGTGTTCCAGACAGTCCTGCGTCAGGCCATGAACGGGAGGGCAGTGAAGGTGGGGGCTAAAGAACCGAGTTTGTGGTGGGGGTTGAAGGCAGTGACCTTGTTCTTCCCAATCTTTAGTTGTAAGGAATTTCTGCTCATCAGCTACTTGGAACACGTTGTAACAGCCCAGTCAGCCCATTTGTCTGCTGCCGATGTTTGCTGTCTGCTGAGCACATCGGTGTAGCCATACTTTCCTGCCCTCTCCTCATGTCCCTCGATATCGTCTCCTTCAGCCACCTCCTCGGTCTGAGCTTTGGTGTCGAGACTTCAGTCACTAACTCTGCAGGTGAATCCCACAGCTCCCTGTGTGAAGGTGTTTCTCCTGCCACCTTTGCTAAATCTGTTGCATTTAATTTGCCTTCATTCTCGACCCCCTCAGCTGCCACAAGCAGTTGCTTAGTTTCTAGCCACTCCAGCCCTTTCCTTCACAATTTGTGACTGTGTTCTCCCAGTTTGTCTGCGCTTGATCTGACATTTTAATTTTCCCAAAGGCCCAGTTTACAGTCTTCACATTCTGACAGTTCCTGTTGCTGATCCCTGAGCAGTCACTGTCCACAGAAGGCTTGTAGTGCCCAGGACTGGGAATGGGTCAGCAGGTGGAGAGTGTGGCGATGAATGTGAACGGAACAGGTTGTGAAGGGTGAATGGAGAGGAAGCTTTGTTCTGTATCCAATCCTGTGCTGTGCCCAAGCCCAGGGACTGAAATCAGCTACCGCTGTCCTGGGACCCCAGTCCTCAGTCCTATCCGACGTTGGGTACAATGTGCAACCCTGCTCCTGCCCCTAAGCCAAGAGAGCTGCACTAATTGGGCCCTGATAGACCCCTTTGTCCCAGACATTGGCTGTGCCCTGTCCTGAGAGTGTTTGGGGACAGTGTAATGGGAGCTTTACTCTGTATCTAACCCTGTGCTGTCCCTGTTCTGGGAGTGTTCAGGGACAGTGTAATGGGAGCTTTACTCTGTGTCTAATCTTGTCGTGCCATCCCCATCCTGGGAGTGATTGGGGACAGTGTAGAGAGAGCTTTACTCTGTATCTAACCTCATGCTGTACCTGTCCTAGGAATATTTGGGGACAGTGTAGACAGTGCTTTCCCTTCTATATATGAGAATAGATGAAATTTTACACTGTATCTAAGTCCGTGCTGTCCCTGTCCGAGGAATATTTGTTGGGATTAGTGTCAAAAGAACTTCACTGGGCCTTTGGGACATTTTAAAACAGTACAGGTAGCATTACACTGTATCTGACGACATGTTGTACTTGCCCTCAGAGTGGAGAGGGAGCTTCAGTTGAAAAGGAGGAAAATTTACTCTTTATCGAACTCCATGCTGTCCCTATCCTTGCAGTGTTTGATGGATCAGTGTAGAGAGAGCTTTACTCTGTATCTAACCTTGTGCTGTCCCTGTCCTGGAAGTGAATGATGGGGACAGTGTACAGAATGCTTTTCCTTCAGTTTATAACAGCAAAGGGAGCTTTATTTTGTACCTAGCCCCATACTGTAGCTGTCCTAGGGGTGCTGAATGCAGTTGGCGAAGAGGGAGTGAAGTTTTACTCTGTGCTAAGTCCGAACTGTTCCTGTCCTGGGAGTGTCTGAAAGGGACAGTGTTGAAAGAGCTTTACTTGTGGTTCAAAAGAGTAGAGGAAGCTACATCGTTTATTTAACATTATGTTGTACCTGCCCTTGTAGTGTTTGATTCCGATGTTATGACTTTGAACTGCAAAGTGTTCTACCACTAAAATCTTAGATTGCCAGTGTCCATGAGATTCACAAAATCACATTTATTTCTCTCGCACTGAAACTATCTTTCTCCTTTGCAAATCCAGGTTTGTTCGGACAGCAATTCCCTTTACAGATGAGCCTCAGAGGGACAAGCCTGCCAGTGTCCAGCCGTATTACCTTTATGGGTCAAAGGTGAGTGAGAGCTGTTTCATGATGTGACGCTAGAACAAATTACAGTTTAGCTGGATTTTCAAACAGCAACTTGTGAAGACCACTTTATTAAGTTTTAAATTTTATATATGATTTGAATTTTGTTCAGAGAAGAACATTTTGTTGGCAGTTTTGTTTGGGTGTGTTCTGTGACCCGTCCTGGTGCAGATTCATGGAAAAATAATCACTGTCTCTTTGAGAGGCAGCCATTTTGTGCCTGTAATATCCCACTAGCTACCACAAAATGGATGACAGTATAATCTGTTTGTTTCTTGACGTTGGTTGGGATATTGAGAGAAATTCCCTGGGTTTGAAGGTATCTGTGGAGAGTGTGATGTGATATTTTGCCTCACGTGTATAGAAAACCAATTTTGTGGTTTAGTGGGATCTTTAATAACCATCTAAACTATTGGAACACCAGTGGGTGACAAGGTAGATGATATGTGGTGGAAAGCCTTCTATTGGGCTTTGGTTTGATGATTTGACACACTGTTTCCCAATTCTGCACAGGTCATTATTGCCTGGGGCGTGTATCGGAAATTTGGGTCCATGTGGTGTCCAATTTTCTGAGCATTTTGCTTCAGGAATTGCAGCAAAGCTCCTCAACCTCTGCTGTAGTCTTCCTGACACAATGTGGAGTTAGAAAATTACCTCTTGTGATCACACAGAGAAAATATCTAATTATTGACCATTACCAAACCTCCACACAACAGCCTGATTATTCCAGTGCAGTCACTGCATAATCCAGAAATGTTCCAAACACTCAAAGTATTCCCTACAGTGCAGAAAGAGGCCATTTGGCCCAAGAACATCCCACCCAAACCCTGTAACCCCACATTTGCCATGGCCAATCCACCTAGCCTGCATATCTTTGGACTGTGGGAGGAAACCAGAGCACCCGGAGGGAACCCACGCAGATACACGGAGAATGTGCAAACTCCACACAGATAGTCGCCCGAGGGTGGAATCGAACGCGGGTCCCTGGCCATGTGAGGCAGCAGTGCTAACTGCCGTGTGCACCCTGCAGAAAGCAGGCCATTCAGCCCAACTGGTCTGAATTGGCGTTTGTGCTCCTGAGGCACCTCCCAACCCTGTTCTTCAAACCCGTTTGGTGATTTTGTTCCTTTTCTTCACTGCATCTGTATTGTTTGCCTCAGGTACTCCTTGTGGCGAATTCCACATTCGCACCACTATCCACATGAATTTCAGTGATAACAGATGGCTATTTAAATGTGCTGGAACTGAGGAGACTTTGGTACGAATTTGGCGATCCCCATGTTCTCAGGGGTTGGGGCAATAAGTTGGCAACTTGCTGCTGCAATGCTACAGCCTAATCTCCACATTCTGGTCTCCCTGCTGTAGGAAGGATGTTGTGAAACTTGAATGGGCTCAGGAAAGATTTACAAATATGTTGCCAGGATTGGAGGGCTTGAGCTACAGGGAGAACTCTGAATAGGCTGGGGTTATTTTCGGAGGCTGAGGGGTGACCTTATAGAGGTTTATAAAACCACAAAGGGCATGGATAGGGTAAATAGACAGGGTCTTTTCCCCAGGATAGGGAAACCAAGATTAGAGTGCATTGGCTTAAGGTGCTAGGGGAAGGATATAAAAGGGACCTGAGGGGCACCTTTTTCATGCAGAGGGTGGTGCGTGTATGGAATGAGCTGCCAGAAGAATTGGTGGAGGCTGGTACAATTACAACATTTAAAAGGCATCTGGATAGATATATGAATAGGAAGGATTTAGAGGGATATGGGCCAAATGCTGGCAAATGGGACTAGATTAATTTCGGATATCTGGTCAGCATGGACAAGTTGGACCAAAGGGTCTGTTTCCATGCTGTACAGCTCAATTACTCTATTACTTACACCAGTTGTGGCTGAACTAATGGGATTATGGGATCGTTGAGCTTGTGCTATTGCTGGATATATTCCACACCCAATAATAACAGACACCACAAGGGCTCACACTTGCTTCTGACTGGTCAACATCGATTGGACTGATCATGGTTAAATTTACAGGCGCTACCTGAATGTTGCTGACTGGCTGTGTTTCCTCTACATTCTCTCTCCTCAGCCCCTGAACATTGCCTTCACACACATCTACAGTGCCTTCCGCAACTTTGTGGGTCCCCCTCACTTCAAGACTATCTGCCGGTTGCTGGGCTACCAAGGTATCGCTGTGGTGATGGAAGAGCTCCTGAAAATCGTCAAAAGCCTGGTAAATGCCTGGCTCCTGCAAGACTCTAAAGAAAACTTAAACTTGTATAAGTACAGAAAACAGGACCTTCCCAAATGCTTTGCAGCCTTTAAAGTTCTTCTTGAACTGCACAACAGTGATTAGTGTTACCAGATCCAATTTGGGCCGAGCTCCCCCAAACAGCAATGTGGTCATGGCTGGATAATTTTGAATCAGAGATAGTAGGAACTGCAGATGCTGGTGAATCCGAGACAACAAGGTGCAGGGCTGGATGAACACAGCAGGCCAAGCAGCATCATAGGAGCAGAGAGGCTGACGTTTCAGGCCTACACCCTTCATCAGAAAAGGGGGAGGGGAAGGGGGTTCTGAAATAAATAGGGGGAGAGTGGGAGGCGGATAGAAGATGGATAGAGGAGAGGAAACAAACAGGTCGAAGAGGCGGGGATGGGGCCAGTAAAGGTGAGTGTAGGTGGGGAGTTAGGGAGGGGATAGGTCAGTCCAGGGAGGACGGACAGGTCAAGGGGGCGGGATGAGGTTAGTCGGTAGGAGATGGAGGTGCGGCTTGAGGTGGGAGGAGGGGATAGGTCGGAGGAAGAACAGGTTAGGGAGGCAGGGACGAGCTGGACTGGTTTTG